GATTCAAAAGCAATTCAATAGAAACATATGTAGTTATTAATATGCACAAAAGTGGGGTCTTCATTAAATGTTGTATGTTAGAAATTAAGCTGCTAACCTTGATGATTTAAAAAATTTGGCTATGAAACATTTTCAAATGTGAATAGACAAAAGACAGAATTCTTCTTCTTATTGAAAATGAAGCTTCATTGCACAGAGTATTTAGTAAGCATTAAATATCAAAATTATTATTTCTTTCAAGTTCAATATTAACAAAAACTCAGTCAGAAGACGAAAATGATCCTTTTGTTATGATTTCTCTTTTATCAAGCACATGAGAAAAGTTAGAAAAATTTTTCAAGAGAACAAACATAGAGTATGAAAATATTCTTAAACAAAACTATAAGATCTTCCAGCACGAGCTGTATTCACAATTTCATGAACAATAAAGTAAAACGTTTTATCAGTTGTGTCCGCAGCATGAAAGGCTTTTGTCTTAGATAAACATTGTTAATTTTTTTTTTGAGTAGTTCTCTACTGTTTATGCCTCACTGATATCATTTTAAATCATATTGGACTTCATTATACACTGATTACTGATCGTATGCTTATTTTGTCTGATGACTCTTCCGCTCTTCCTGCAAAGTGCTATCAATAAAACTCTATTGAAAATTCTAAGATACAAGAGACATCAAGACATCAGTTCCCTGGAATAAAAAGATTAAGTTTTAGATTTTTGTATAACTACTCATTTTCGGTTTCCATTGAGCTTAAAGCGAAAGATCATAATATTCAAATATTCGAACAGCCTTTTTAAGCTGAGAGCCATCGCGCCAATTTATTCCATTTTTTTCTTTCTTGATATATTTAATTCATTTTGAGACCACCCAGAGAATAATTTTTTTTCGCGAGCAAAATTCACTTGGTTTAATACACTTTTGCGCTTCTGTTAATATTCACAATGAGTGACGGTTAAAAGAGAACGAAAGAAATACAACAATCTATTTTAATAGCAGATATGCCTAAAACAAACACATCAAGAGTGAAGACAGATAAAGTTCGTTCTTTTCAACATCATACATATTTCAAAGATGTTGAAGTGAAAGAGACGATAATTGTCTTGAGACAGAGATGTGAATGTGCTATGTAAAATATTCAAATTGGAAAACCCATCTTATTCTCGACATATAGAAATAAAAAATACTACAAATGTCTCATATCCATAATTTTTTTGAAAACTTCATTTGATGTTCATTTAAACGTAGAATTGATCGAAATTAATAAAAACAAAAGGTTTAAATGATAAATTTGTAATAAGTCTCATAAAAGAATTTTTTGTTTTCTTTTTTGTTAAGGCATTCCAAAAAAAATTTACGAGTTGTTTGAAGGAATCCTAGCCTTTAAAATCATGAATATGATAAACACTAATAACATAGGTGTAAAAAGCCTTTACACAACTCGTTTATCTAATTCTCAATCATTGATAGATTAATAAAACTAATCAAACGCAATGTATTAGAAATAAGCATTTCATGCTCGTTCTAAATATATGTTCAATTGTTTTTGGCTTACGGTTCGTTTATTGGAAGCAGATCTCTGAAAGAATAAAGCCGACGTCTGTATATAGAAATATTCATGCAATTCATGTTTTATTTTTCTTTAATTGAAATTATTTTAAACCGAGTTATGAATTTTTTATGCATCAATATGTAGGGGCAAACTTGTTATACAAAAAGCCCAATTCACTTCTTGTTTTACATGTTTTTATGGAACTAAATCTATAGGAATTCTACTGCTAAAATTCAAAAACAAAATTGTTTTGAAATTTGCATTTCACATGTAGACAAGTTCTTTAAAGAATGTTAATAGCTTTTGACTTTTCGAGTTTTATCTCATTATAATTCATGATTCTGTAGAAATTTAAATTCTCTACAATAACAGACAGTTAAAACTAGTTCAAAATATCCGTAAGGCAGATTTATAACGCAAAAAGAACATATACTTTACTGGATGAAACCACTCTTTCTCATTATTCAAATATTTGCTTATATTTGAAAATAATTGAGAGATCTTTACCAAAGTACTCATCCTCTTCTTCGATTATAAACAAAAATTATTCAAAAATTTGTTTTAGTTTATGTTTGAGAATTTTTTATAAAAATTGGGTAAAATCCGTTGATATGACAATCAATTAAAATTCAATCTTTTTTTTTATTTTCTAAATTTGTTTTTGACATATATTTTCAAGGGAGATTAATTCAGCTATCAAAAATAAATATTTTTAAAAATTATTTGAAAATAAAAACCAGACTGAAGTTTTTTTCTGACATTATGTGAATAAAGATAAGGAAAAGCAATTTTCTTGATATGGTTGTTTTATTTTACTTTATATCTCGAAGATATTTGGTATGACTTTATGCGAGCTTGAGTAGTTCATTATAGCTTCTAATAGTTTCAGAGTAGACACTGATTGCTATCTATCCATTAGGGGTGTTTTTTTACAAAGTATAAAACTATATATTGATAAACTTTTGCATTGTAGAATAATTGAATTGCCCTACAGAGTGATATATAAATGTAAAATGAAATAAAATTATGTGATTTTTTTTCCACCAGACCATAATCTAAAGTATAAAATTTATTAAATTGATGAAGCTACAAGAATATTTTAAGTTTCTAATAAAAAAATGTGAAATTTAAAATTCCATGGTTATTTTCTTCTAAATCATCTCCAAAATTATTAATTATTAATATTTATGGCTGATTATGACTGTTTTCAAAACGATTATAGCAAAAGAAAACAGTATCTTTCAAAAGAAATCAATCCACACTAATTTTTATGATAAAATAAATTCCTTTTTAAAGTATAATAGATTTCTTTGATGGATGATCGCACTACAGGGTATACATAAAGTAGTTAGAAAATCATATTTTCAATATTTTCATAATTCATCCACTTGGATCTTATACAAAATATAGACATATCGATCGACTTTCATTTAAACAGAAAAACAATATCACTACAAAAGACATTCCTGTCTCTTTATTTTAATTCATTATTTTGATAACAATTAATTTTAATTGACTTGTCTCAGAATCAATTAAAATGAATAATCTCAGGTACGAAAGTCGGTTCATATTGAAATTGTGAATGATTGTTGAAATTGCTTGTGACACAAAGGATTCCATATAAAAAAAAAGTTAATTTTATCTTTATTTCACTTTTTCAAGAGTTTGCGTTACGACCTTGTGTATAGATGTCGACCTCTCGTTATATTTTTCTCTTTTGAAAAATAATCGAAAATAAATAAATAGCACTTTTTTATTTTACAAAAATGATCTCTGGTGCAATAATTAAATTCCAAACGAATAATTTATATCCATATACCCATAATAATTGGCAAAGATCCTCAAATGTTTATTGGAGTTTTATTCTATTTACTTATTTGTATAATAGAACATGCAGTTCCAAATAAAACTAAGATGAATTACGATTAATAAACTTCGACATACGGCAAATTTCAGATTGAATTTTATATCTTTCTGTTTCATCAAACAAAAAGTACAATGATAAACTCCTGGTTATAACTATTATTTCAATCTAATTAAAAAATGTTTGATGAAATTTTTTTCTAATTATTCCATTTTATTATTGAACTATTAAAATGTTCAAGTGGCATTTTCATAACATATCCTTAGCTTTCTTTTCTGACTCGTGTTTCGTTTCTGAATTTGCTTTAAATTAAAAAAAAGTTTTTTCTCTAATATAAGTGGATCATTTAGTAAAAATGACGTTTTAGCGTAATTAAATATCTGGGAAGAAAATAAAAGAAAACAAAATCATAAACATATGTACTTATTGATATATAAAAATCTTGTTTGATGATATTTATTGAAATATATCAAAACAGAAACAAAGTTTTTGGAATATTTTAATAATCATATTCTGTCCAATGTATTTATTAACCGTTTTAGATAAAGATAAAGGATAATGAAACTGTCCCTAAGATGCAAGATTTGTTGCTTTTAGATAAAAATAACCTTCGTCAAACATGTATCAACATTCTTTGTTCTGTTTTTCTCTTTTCATCCAACCTCTTTTTTCCTATCATATATTATTACTTTGTCGTAAATTATTCTCAATATCATATTAGCCATTTTATAATCTTCTTTTTCTTAGACATCAGTTATTTCTCAAAATCTATATATGAAAAAGTGAAGATTGACACAACAAAAGATGTTTGAATAATATATGACTCTTTGGTGTGACTGATTCGATACGTTTTGCTGCTTTAAACATAGAACACTTGGAAATAAGACATCGAGTTAAACGTCGATATACGTTGGAATAAAACTTCTTCGATGTTCCATGAATTTGTCTGGAGAATGTAACACATATAAGCTGATTATACTATTATGTCGGCATGAAATTATATGGTCGTATTGAAAAATAAACTTATAAATAAACAAGATCCGGTATATAGAACTGAACGTTTATGACATTGAACATAAACCTTACCAGGATCACTCTATCTAAGCCAGTAAAATCTGCTATTTCTCACATGACACCAATTGAATTGTATAGATGATGGTAGAAAAAACAATCGTTGGTTTTATGTAGTCATGTAATTAGCAAAAAGTTCTAAAGTTGACATATAAACTATACACCAATTGCGCATTCCATACATTGATAGCCCAAACACTTGAGACTGTAAATAGAAAATTTACTAAGTATGGTATCCTAATCATTTAGCGATATCCAATGCGAAATATTCATTAACCATTCTTTACGCAACAAACTCAGTTAATCGACTACTACCAGTTACCATCTCTAATCTGAAATTAATTTCAATAATAATAATGTTATATCGATAACGATTAGCAATACATGTGTAACTACGTTCAATACAAAAAATCACGATTATATGAAAAATTAAGTACTACAACAGTACAATTTCACACTACGAAAAACGAAGTTTTGTTTACAGATCATTGTGTATTTTATCGAACCATAATAATAATTATTGAGGATTTTTCTTCTCGAATTCGATTGTATGCGCAAGTAATTCCTCATCTGATATTTCAGGTATTATTTGAACGTTTATACGAGCACTACTAGCCATCATCGTTGCACAAACAAATTTTGGTTGATCAAAAGATTTTGGAACAATACTTGAAGCTTGTTTTTCGTGTGCGTGATGGTCAACCATAACCTTTTTTGCTTCAGCTCCAAGTTCATCAGATGCAGCTCTTTTTGCTACACGTTTAACTGTTGTTGAATTTATCTGACGTTTCATTGGTAGAAGTATTAGTTTATTAGATAATGCGTTCTTACCTTATTGTCTGCTGTAATTGTTGATAGTTCCGAGAAAATATTCATGTTTGATATTGAATCTATCGTGCAAAAGAGATAAGATAATATAGTTTTGGAAAATTAATCTACTACAATGCATACTTGAGGATTGAGACATGTTCAGAATAAGTTGAGTGATAAGCGTACGTGTATGTATTATAGAAATCTACAATAAACACATAGTGTTACTTAATTCTAATAATAACTTAGATTATAAGAATATATTTATTTTATTATATAGATTTTGGTGTGATTTATTGTTAATTATACAATTAATGAGAATTTTAGTGATAAATCAAAATAAAAAAAATTGAATGATATTATTAAATCTGATTTAGTGTTATATAGATATCGATGAATTTTACAATACAAACATAATCATGATTTAACCCTTTCCAGCTGGCTACCAAAAAACAGGTAGCAAAAAAGCCTTTTCGTGCATTTTTGTTGCTCCTAGACTATGGAGATAGGAAAAGTTTATTTTTCGGAACCAATAAGTGCTTCGGCATCTAATGGCTTTATGTATCCATTTAGATACATCCCCATTTTTTATTGTTCGGATTTTTTGAATAATCCGTCTTAGTAATGCAATAAACAATAGGTCTATGAAGGAAAATTCGTAACTAATTGCATCACAGCTAGATTATTTAGGGACACGAGAAGAGGATTATTTCTATGCGGATGCTACTTTCGGGCATTGTGGGGAGAACCGGTCATTTTCTTAATGAATGTTTTTTTCCTTCTCCTAAATGCATGAATGTGTGTTGAAATGTGTTAACTTAATTATCAAATTGTCAAAAAATTTGATATCATCACTATAAGTCAGTTCTTCGTAAAATGTTGGCTTGATGTGTCCAAATGGATACATCTGACCGGAAAGTGTTAAGTATGTAAGAAAGATTATCTGAAAATGATTCGATCTTTTCTGGTTGTATTTCTATGGCTAAATGATGGTATTTTTATAAAAATTAGCAATAAAAAACCATTATGTGACACAGAAAACTTAATGGATTTTAAAACCTATATTTTACAAGTTTTATTTATATTGCAACAGTTGCGGACAGACCATAGACATGAATTTCTCTTGAAGTTGAAAAGTGTCAATGTTATGTACGAATGGTCCACGAAATTCTTTTGTAGCAATTTGAATTTCACCATCCTCATCAATATATTGTTGATATTCAACACGATAAAACGGAATCTCATCCTGTGCCATCAATGAATCGAAATCACCATCGAAATCGATAGGTTCTAAAAAGTCGAATCCCCTGTTACAATATTTTGCTATACGTGTGCACACGTGCTTTGGAGTTCGAGCATGCAGATTGTAGACAATAAATGATTTTGTTGCAAGACCTTGTAAGAATGGAAATGTTGAAACGATTTTATCTCCTGAAAATCTCATATATGAAATTTGTAACCGAAAATTCATTGAAAGATATAGAAAGTTACCGGTAAATGCTACTTGACAAATATCCATGTCAAAATTGTGAAGAATATGCGAAAGTGGATTTTTAGAGCTTCCGACAGATGCCCAAGAGAAGTTCAGTCGAACATTACAGGGTAGAAATATATTGTAGGACGGTGCCCCTGCAATTTTTTCTATATTTATCTGATTCGTTAAGTTTGGCCAAATCGTGTTATTGAGGAGCCTATTGATGGTAGTCTGTACTGTTTTTTCAAAATCCAATATATCATCAGCGTAATAGATCAAGTTAACATCTTGTTCTTTGGTGTCGATAAATGGTGATAAACATAATGCATTGAGAACACAGCCTCCAACAATGGCGAATTTTGAGAAATCAATTGCTTCTAGCCATGCAGCTGATGAAAAACGAGTCGCAAGATTCTGTTTAAACTCGTCCATGGTACGTACAAATAACAAATCCGAGTGATGATTTCGTTTTTTTTTCATATTAAAATGCGTACTAACTAAATTAATCGAATATATATTTATTTTTACATGTGATACTTTTCATTTTATATGAATACCTTTAAACAAATTTTTCTCATGATCATTCAACATACGTTCCACGCCGATTGTATTACCGTACCACTCATAATCAAGCAGTCCGAAATCTGCGTTGTACCAGACAGTATTAAACGGTAAAAGTCGAGAATAGCATTTAAAAAGGGAAGTCTTATAGACCACACACAATTTCGAAAAACCTTCAACACTAAAGCATGGATGAATATATAAACGTTCAGACGGTTGAGTAAAAGAAGAATAACGTGTCGAGACTACAATAAGTCGTTCATCATCAATTTCGGATTCGCCCGTAAAATTTTCGAATATAGCACGTGGCAGCAAAATCTTCTGATGGTCACGGAATACTTTGATCAATTCAATAAAATGATAATCTAATGTTTTTGCAATTGATCCGAATTGTTCATTACTATTTACTGCTTCCATAAAATTGGTCGCATCTATTCCATCAAGAAATTTTAATAGATGACATCCAACAACTTCATTTAATTCAACGACTGTGTTTTTCGACATAATTAGTCAATACTTAATCGCTATTAAAGCTTGAATCAATGATATATCTGAAAATGTCTGAAAACATATCGTTGTTACCCAACTAATCGATAATGATGCACTTCTCTAATCAATAATTATCGTCCTTCGTTCTGTTTCTCTTTCGCTTTCATATACTGCGTTTCATTCTTGCTTTTTCACTTTACCGCTTCTTTTGTAATGGTCATCTTTTCTTTTCTTTTCTTTTCATTCGCACAGAAAATGAATCATAGTCGAACAAGTCAGCCTGTCAAACAATTGAACATAGCTCGTATTATATGAACTTTTTTTCAATGACGATAGACAGCAGATTATGTTGGAAAAAAAAGAAATAAAAAACCAGCCTCAAAAACAGCTAGCATTACCAACCTAAGAAAAAAGTATAAGTTTTTGATAACAAACTTCTATTACCGAACCATAACTTTCCACTTTTGTACTCGTTTGTGTCAGATACATTTGAGGTCTCTCATCTAAATTTGGTAATACCGCAAATTATGCAATGTTCTGCTTTTGAAGAGTAACTAATTCAAATCATTTATTTTTTTCTTAAAACACATTCTCATGCACTACTATTACAGACCCCTCGTAACGTGTAGTCAAATCAATCAAGGTTCGTTTACCACGCTTAATTTTCCCCATAAAAAAATGTGTTATTTTATTTAAGAAAATTTGCCTTTATATACACAAGAGAAACATGAAGAAGGAGAGAAATAACAGAAAAGTAGAGAGAAGAGATGGATGATTTGGGCGCTCCTTCGTGCGTGACGTCCAGCTGACATTGAACAATGAAAAATGACGTCATTTTAATCTTTAACAAAGGATATGACGTTATTTAATTCTACAATCACGAAGTAGAAAAAAAAATATACGTGAGAACCTCAATGATTCTCATAGACGAACAAAGAAAGAGAAAAAAAAAAGATTAATCTGGACGAACAAGACGAGTAGACGGATAACCAAAGAGAATAGAAAAGACACACGCACGCATACACACCGATACATACACACATTCATATATACAGAAAGGAAGAGAAAGAAGAAGAATTGATGTACGTGGATATTGTTAGAGTGCTCTCTAACAATTACATTATTTAATATAAATAATTTTAACACGCTCGAATTTACAGTATATTATACATATATATGGATGTGCCCAGTTGTGTTGGTACTCCAAGATACAGAGTAGGAAATGATATTATTCTAGGAAGGAATATATTATACTCCTTCCTAGAATAATATCATTTCCTACTCTGTATCTTGGGGTACTAACACGACTGGGCACACCCATATATATTCTTCATGTCTAATTGTTGAATATAATATCTTCTTTTAAATATTCCACGAGTTCAGAAATATCATTGAAGTATTTTTTTAAAATAACATCAAGATTTTCGTCCTGGTCTTCGGAAAGAGATGATTGTTTATTTTCTACATCTTCCGATTCTGCAATTGAAATAGGCGAAAACATATTTGTATAAAGCTTTGGATCTTTATGCAAGATATATTCATCCATTTCAAAATCAAAATTAAGTTTTTCTTCTTTAATATCAGGTTTTTCTTCTTTAATATGCATCACATCATCCTTGATTTCAATCACATCGTTCTTAATTTCAATCACATCTTCCTTTTCTTCTTTCTTATCATTTGTTTGTAATAGATTGTATTGTCCACAATGAACACATGGAATATTGAATTGATTATTTTGTTGATGAGCAACAGGAAATTGAAGGTTTATTGTTGACATGGGTAATATAATGGATATTGATCCATTCATCTATAATTAAAGATATGTCTTAATGAATAAAAAATATTTTGATGGTAATACTTGTTGATTATTGCTGATTGTAATAGTTGTCGTCATTGTAACAATTAAATTTTATGAGTAATATAGGTGTGTTGTTTGCTAATATCTAGAAATAGAGATGAACAGTCTATTATAGATAAAGTATATAATGGTCGAAGCTTACAAAGCATAACTTTCATTTCTGACAAGAAAACGATGATCTTACTTTCTTTGTGGAAAATATCTTTTTCTTATACTTTCTCTTTTAATCATTTGTAATTTTAGAAACACACTTGTCAAGGAGAAATTGAAAAAGCATTAATAGCTCATTATAATCAACATGAATGACAGCGTCAAAAATTTGATCCAATTCAGTTGTTTCCTTATACTCTTTGACTAAAAAAACCAATCAATCTGAATCTTACAAGAGAGAGAGAGAGAGAGAGAGAGAGAGAGAGAGAGAGAGAGAATATAAAGTATTTATACGCGCAACTATTAAAGAATAACACATGATAATCATGTTTAAAAACAATGTTGTTTTTTGAAGAAGAGTACTGAACTAGTTAATCGATGAGAACATCACCTATTCATCGTTTCCATTGACACCAAAAGTGAAAATAAATCAATTATTGTCTACTACAACGCTATGACAAAACATTTGCAATAACGAGAGCATGACACTTTATTCATACATGAAAGAATGATTTACAAAAAACAACAACGGCTAATTAACAGTACAACTAAGAAGAATAACTTGAAGAGTTAATATTGACAAACAATAATGATTATTAATTTAATAAAACAAGAAATAATATTTTCTATATTTCTACATATACATACAAATTGTACATAAAAAAACCCTTCTAACCAAAAAAAACATCTAAAAGTTTTTGTATGCAGTAATCGTTTTTAACTAAAAAGTGGCTATTCATCCGCCACCACATGTTCAACTTTGCTATTCGTTCATGTACTATCATAGAAACAAACAGGACTATAATTTAGAAGCAGTCATAAAAAATGAAGAAAACATACTCTCATATATTTTTATATTTTGAGCCATTATTTGTTCAGAAAGACGTCGAATGAATGTTTTGAAAAATTTCTATGTGAATAGATATAGAGTTTACCATTCATATAAAAACTACTTTCTTACCACATGATAAAAATTATCAAGACGATTTCTAAATGCATAGCGACAGATATCAATAATCTGTTGTGGTGGAAATGGTCGAAATGTAGATTCTGAATTAATATGATTAGATGGATAATATCTAACAAGTGATATTTCTTTTATTGATTTTGCTGCTCTTCGAGCAGCATATGTTTCTTCCTCTTTTCGAAAGAAAAGGTAGAAAATTGCTTTCCCATTCTTTGATGGAACACGACGATACTTATAATATTTCAATTGTTGATGGAATTTACCGCTCATATCATTATTCGTTATTTCAACATCAGTGCGATTGTTGAGAACTAATCTATATTCCATACTTTAATGTACTGAAATCAAAGTTGAATGTGATAATGAATTTAAAATTAGCTGAAAATTTGAAAATTACAACTTGAACAATAATCACATAAAAATATTGGAGAAAAAAACGCGAATTTTATTAATAGAAAACAATCGTTCGAGTTTGATTCTTTCTTTCTTGGTAGGAAAAAATAATCTATATATGACCCTCTCCAGTAAAGAGAATTGATTGCGTGCGCAATTGGTTGCGCTTTTTTTAACCCTTTCAATACTGACATTTTCTTGCGTTCTGCACGAGCAAGAAAAAAAGTTAATTTAATCTTTCTCTCTTGCGTTCGGCTGTCACAACCATATGTGTTCGAAATTCAGATTCATTATTCATAGCCATACGAATTCATTTTCCTTTGAACATGTCATATGATATTCGTCGTCTAAGAAGACGACAGAACGCAAAATATTTCTTTTCGTTCTATATCTCATCTACGAGATGTGATGCGGTAACGAAAGAGTTAATGACTCTTTTTAACAGTCGATCTGATTGAAGTGAAAACTAAACGTTTTAGATTATGATTAATATGAGCATCAGAATATACTCTTATAAAAGCTATATAAGAGATAGGCATGAATCTAAAGAAACTCGAGAAAAAAAATCACGTTTTATTCAATTTTCTTCTACTTTAACGAAAAATGCATTATACCTCAACTTTTATTTATACAATTTAACATAAGACATATTCTTTTGGTATTATCGAAAAAAGCTCTCATTTACTTGAGTAAGGTGAAACGAGATGTGCTGAGGCACTCTCGTTGCCGAATATTATGTATAAATAAACAATGTGATCAGAATTTCTCTATAGTTTTATAATTTTTGGATAAGTCTCATCACGCTGAGATTCTGCTATATATGTAATAAAAAAACCATTACATCTTTTGTTAACAGAAATGAATATCTGCTCTCATCTTATTTCGATATATGGCATTAATTCACTGTTGACTCACAGCTACGCCTAAGAAATGATTATCAGATAAGAAAAAAAATAAAAGAATAAAGAGATTGTAGAAAAAGTACCTGTTTGTCTTCATACATAAAAGAAAAAGAAGTATTTGATGAAACAGTGCCAAAAAGGCTCGGTGTCCACAACGGATCGGTTTGCATATTATTTAGGACTAGACTTACGTAGAATTAAGAATGTATGTTACTTACTAGAAATTGCAAATATGATCAGTAAGTAAGATCTTGAATAAAAAAACGAAGTAATATAACGTCAACTGATACGAGATTAGTTTGCCGAACGAAATGTCGAATACTGCTGTAATCGGCCTCTATTTATAGTCGAACATAAGCTTATCACTATTGATTTTTCTCAACTGCTATTGGATGATCGCTACTCTTCGCTAGCTTTTTAACCAATCATTGATGGCTTCGGAATTTTTTTTCTCTCTCTCTTTATTTATAGTTGGTGAGTAAATATGTTGAAGATACTTTATCTAATTAAATATTTTTGACGTTTAGATCAACTATAAATCAAGTTTTATGATATGTTCTATTTGACATAATTTATTATTTATTTTTGATGTTTAAATTCAACTAGAAATCGAATTTCCTGATAAGTTCTATTTGACATAATCTATTGTTTGTTTCTTATGTTTACATTCAACTTGAAATCGAATTTCCTCGTAAGTTCTATTTAACGTAATAAATCAAATATCTTTTATGTTTAGATTTAACCATCAATCAAGTTTTATGATGCGTTTTATATAAATCAATCAATTACTTGATTGATTGATTTAGATTTGTGCAAATGCTTCGCTCAATCTTTGATTCGAAAACTGACACATCGATTCTTAGTGTAATCAGCGATGGCTAGTTGAAACTGCGATTGAATCATTCACTACAGTACAAAGTGTCATTATTATCACGTTTCGTAAGATTTGGAAACATTTTATTCGGTGTTTGAGTCTTGAGTGTAAGAAGCACTTGTAAGAACTTGATGAGTTCAGAGACCCTTGGTCAGAAACCGTTAGAATTTCCGAGAGTATCTTTTTCAGAGTGTAGAATAACCCCATGCCAAATGCTCGACTGTCTTGTCTTTTGATTTCGATGACGTAAGTCAACAAAATCTCTACTTGTTTAGAAACATTTTCAAAAAAAAGAATTAATCAATAAGAACAAATCGGGTCCTTCTTTCAATCTCTCTCTCGTCTTTTCGAACGTTAAACGTTGCGCTATCTGATAGAAACAGTTCCATATCAACCACTTGAAAAAAGTATTTGTCGTGCAGATTTGGACAAAACTACATCGTTCGAAAGAGCTTGAACAATTGAATATTTGGTGAAATTTTCATAAATAAGTATGCTCAATCTCGAGCAAAAATTTATTAAAAAAAATTCTGCAGCAACAACCATGACCATATTTTTTTTTATCTCTCTTTTTTCAATGCACATGCGCATACATACATATATGTGTGTATGCGCATGTGCATTGAAAAAACAAGAGAGATAAAAAAAAAGTAATTGTATTTTTGATCACGAAAAAAAGATACTTTTGATCATCAAATTATTTAGAATACATCTCATATTTTTATTTCTCAACAAAATAAAATACAATGTAAACTTTAAAGTATTTATATATATGAGAAGCAGCAATAGAAAAGGTATGAGGAAATGAAGTTTATTGTCAATCATTTGAAGTTAAGTATTAAATATTTTGATTATCAGCCATTGGAATTTATAATTATTATGTCATAGATCAATGTCCGACCCGAGTCGGATTACGGAAAAATTTTTGGATTGGAGGGTGAATCTCCAGTCTGAACATTTTGCATATACAAAAGGCATTTTAAATGTTTATTTTTGTTCATTAAAAAGTTCTATCACATAATCGTGTTGTCTCAACTGCGACTTATCAATGACGGAAACAGGTCCAGGATATATCCTTCGTTTCCAACTATGAAATGAAAGGAAGAAAAAAGGATTGAGAAAAATAGTCGAGAGCAGAGTCCGACTCGAGTCGAACCGAGTCATAAAATTTGACCGATCCCAAGTCGAATAATACGACACGTAAATGAAAGCAATTTACACATTGTAACTACGCTGTATTTACGTCAAATCAATAAAACGTCTAAACTCCATAATTAGCTGCCATGTAAACGTAGATAATCAATAGATGTCCTTGAATTCTATTTAACGCCGCCAAGCTTTCATGACTTAATGTTTTACGAGAGGAGAGCGTATCATGTACCAGGTTTATGACAAAATATGATATGTAGCGGGTCCATATTTGCTCATTTACTGCCATAAAGACACCATAACAAAGTTCCAGGGACGTTGGGCACTGGAATTTATACATTGCATAAATTAGTCAAAAGTTTAAGTAAAAAAGGACATAAAAGAACAATTTAAAAAGTCGTGTGCTAAATTTTATCAGCTATTTTGAACCGTATTTCTCTTTCAAACCTTTCTGAGTACTTCGGCATGTAGTGTTTCTCATTCTTTATGGATCATCTATCTTAGCATTGATTCATATTAATTCAAAGTCCAGAAAAAATAGTTCAAGGAATATTCATTAATAGTATTAAATAGTTTTCATAATAAAAACTATCTTCAAATGATTTTTTAAGACTAAGTACTACGTTTGTTTGTTATGTTCTTTTCACTTATTCTCACCCATAATCATTGGAATAACTAAACAAACATCATCAACAACTCCACTACCAACCATTGAAACAATAATTGATGTAACAGTAGATGAACCTTGTAGAATAGTTGTTATAATAATTCCAAACATTAGACTAATAATAGGATTTTTCAAAAATATTCGACTACGAAATATTTGTCCAAATATTGAACGACTTAATAATATAAATGCTGATGTCATTAAATCAAGTGTTATAGTAAATAGATATAATGAAAAAATGAAAACTAAAATTCTTATTAAAATATTTAATAAATAAAGAAATTTTTCTCGTTTTGATATTATTTTCCATGGTATTCGACCAGTTTGTTCATAACGATGAGTAACAAATATCATTTGCATTTATCTTTTCTGTATGCCTGTGTGTGTTTGTATAAATAATCAACAAAAAAAAAATCAAAAAGAAAAAAGATATTTTCTATATGGTAAATGTCAAAAAAGAAATAATTCTGACAGTAATTATCACATAACGATATATGACATTTTCATCATCGTTTGCTTCAAGAGATATTCTATAAATAGCCTTGAGTTAGAAATAAATATATTACTTAAGTTGTTCATTCGTTTGTACGTTCATGAGCGAAATCAATATCATAACATTTTTCTTTAGAGTAAGAAACAAACGAAAATCTATATATAAAATCCTTTAAGAAGGTTCTTTTTTAATTAATTAACTGATTTGCTAATGTTGTTTGAGTAATGTGTAAATTATTTTGAAGTGATTAAAAATATTTTTCAATATGAAATAGATAAATTTCTGTTGTATTTATTTCTTTTTCTATTTCACTTC